TTACACAACAAATACCGAACAAATGTAGAAATTATACACGTAGAAATGCGTTCAGTCTGAGGCTTTCTGAAACATAAAGTGGTAAAAGGCTGAGCTGGCAGAAAACACAACAGCTCCTGAGTTTAAATGTACGCAGCAAAGAAAGTGCAATCTGCATTAGTGCCAGGGTATTGATAACGTATCGCAAGAGACCATACTGCTATAATGTATCGCCGTGGCAATTATTCGTCCCACCTCGACCTCCCTGTAGAGCGAGCACTAATATTTCCCTCCTGATATAAGCTTTATGTCTGACATTTAAAAATAAAGCATTTAACAGCTCTGCTGATGTCCGGCACTCACAGGCCTTAAATACTGTGTCGGATCTGACTGACGGCATCACTAACGAACAGCTAAATGCCCTCGCTAATCACAAAATCTCAGCAGTAACAAATAAAGCCAACTGAAGAAGTTGTAAACATAAAAGGTTTAAGAGCTTAAGGCTCCAAGGGGAACACCACCCATATATACCAGTCATATACTGGTAACAGTGGGGCAAAGGATGAGCGAGAGATGCTGAACTGATCATGCGAGCTCAGTCTGATTATTGTCCTTAAACATTACATCGACTAGTCACTAATCCTTGACGGCATTACAGTGATTGCATGTTTTGAATAGCATACTGCATGCTTTATGATTATCAGCGTGCTGCAAATATTTCACACGTCATGCCGTACTCTGGTGGTCCTATCGTGGCTTCTTGCTCGTGCATTAAGGAGCCTGCTAAGAGTTGAACCTCCGCCTATCTAAGTGATCCTGGTGAATGCAGCAAGGATGAAAGATAAGAGCAGTCGAGTACAGACTAACAAGTCTGAGTCAATCCTTGTTTTGAGACAACGCAGCAGAAATCCTTCAACTAGCTGTGGTTGGCCAATTTACAGACGCACCTGGGGCCGTTACAGCATCTTTCATCACGTTCTGGCTTTCATACCGCATGACGACGTGTGTGTGTGTGTGTGTGTGTGTGTTTGAAAGTCAGAGAGAGTGAGAGGGGAAGGTCAGAAAACCCTTATGCAGCTGAACTGGGAGTGATGGGGGTGTACATGCGAAAGTGCAGCGATGTGGAAAAGACAACATCAAAAACAGAAACCTACGAACACAAAAAGAGCGGCAGAGTGTGTGCGTGCATGTGCGCCGAGCGTGTGACAGCGCGCGCGAGTCCGCGTCTGCGGGTGGAGTTTCCTTTGAACGCGGAAAACGTGTCCGTCCTCGCCTGCTTCCACAGGTAATTTGTAGGCGGAATAACATGCATACTGACGGTCCAATCACGAGGCAGACTTGACAGCAAGAAGACAGCCGATCAGCGAGGGCTGCCAGGAGCTGACACACACACATCACACAGACACACAGACACACACACAGACACATCACACACACACAGACACACACACAGACACACTCACACAACACAGACACACTCACACACAGACACACACAGACACACACACACTACACACACACACACAGACACACAGACACCACACACAAGACACACTCACACACACACAGAACACACACATACACACACAAAGAGACACACACACAGGACACACTCACACACACACCAGAATTACAGACACACACACACACACACAGACACACACACACACACACCACAGGACACACAAGAAAACAACGACGCAAAGTAAAATCCTGACGCAAAAAAGGAAGGTGGATGAAGGAATCGAGCATGTGGGTGAAAATTTTTTAGTTGTCAGAAAGAGAGACAGACGGATGGACAGATGGAAAAGAGAGAAAGGGGCCCCGATCATTCTGTTTCACAGCATACAGGATGAACAGGGCCTCTGTGGCTCCTTCTCTGTTCAAACACACTCACGGCTGTCTGCTCCCTGCAACAACAATACACACACACAACACACGCACACACACACGCACACACACACACACACACACACGCACACACACACGCTGCAGCCGGCCTGACAGTGGCACAATAACCCTATTGAGAGGCATCGATTTTTAGGGGCTGAAAGAGAGAGTGAAGAGAATGGAGTTGAGAAAAGATTGACAACACAATCTTCCCCC